CAACAAACCTTGTTTCTTTTTACAGCCAGGTCACAAACTGCTTAGACGCAGGAGTCAAGGTGGACATCATATACTTGGATTTTAAAAAAGCCTTTGATACGGTGTCACATCCCATTCTCATTAAAAAAAAAACCTGAGTGACTATGACTTAGATGATTACACAGTCAGGTGGGTGGCAAATTGGCTAATGGGATGCACCCAGAGTGGTGGTGGACAGGCCAGTACTGACCTCGAAGGATGTGGGCAGTGGAGTCGCCCAGGGCTTGATCCTTGGGCCAATGCTGTTCAACATCTTCATCAGTGATTTGGACAACGGCGTAGTGGACACACTGTCCAAATCTGCAGATCACACTAAAGTATGGGGCAAAGCAGACAAACTGGAGGGCAGGGAGTGGATTCAGGTAGATCTGGACAAGCTGGAAAAGTGGGCAGAACAAAATAGCATGCAGTTTAACAAGGATAAGTGCAGAGTACTGGACCTAGGGAAAAGGAATCACCAACACATACAGATTTGGGGAGGACTTTCAAAGCAGCACAGCAGCAGAAAGGGATCTCAGAGTCATAGTTAATTCAAAGATGAACATGAGTCAGCAATGTGACTAAATGATCAATAGAGCTAACCGCACTCTATCGTGCATTAATAGGTGCATCATGAACAGGTCTAGGGAGGTGATACTTCCCCTCTATGCGGCACTGGTAAGACCGCAGCTGGAGTACTGCATCCAGTTTTGGGTGCTGCACTTCAAAGGGGTTTTGGATAACCTTGAGAGGGTCCAGGGGAGGGCCACTCATGATTAGGGGCCTGCAGGATAGGTCCTATGGAGAGAGGTTGAGGGACCTAGATCTCTTCAGCCTCCATAAGAGAAGGCTGAGGGGATTTGGTGGCCATCTACAAATTTGTCAGGGGGGTGGAGCGGGGCGGGGAGGGACAGCAAGGAACAGGAGATACTCTGTTTACCAGGGTACACCTCAGAGTAACTAGAAAGAACAGCCACAAACTGACAGAAAGCAGATTTAGATTAGATATTAGGAAGAACTTGTTTACCAGAATCTGGAATGGGCTTTCAAGGGAGGTGGTGCTCTCCCCTACCTTGGGGGTCTTTAAGAAGAGACTGGACAA